ATTTTGTTTACTGCCTCGACCTGGCCGTTGGACTGAGGGTGATAGGGCGTCGAGAAGAAGTGTTTGATGTGGTGTTCTTCGCAAAACGACTCCAGCTTCCTCCCTTCAAATTGCTTGCCATTATCGGTGATGATCGAGTTCGGTACTCCGAATCGGCATATGATGGACTTCCATAAAAAATCTATCATTTTCTGTTCTGTTATGGTAGCGAGCGGCTCAGCTTCCGCCCACTTCGTGAAATAGTCCACCGCAACAACCGCGTATTTTACCCCGCCCTTCCCGGTAGGGAGGGGGCCAATCAGGTCGACACCCCACCTGGCGAATGGCCACGGGCTGAGGATCGATTTTAGAGGCTGCGACGGTTGGATGATGTTGGGTGCAAAGGTTTGACATTTCGCACATCTCCGGGCTAGGTCAAGGGCGTCCTTTTTCAGACTCGGCCAGTAGTAGCCCTGTCTGAGGACCTTGTGTGCGAGGGCGTAACCTCCTGAGTGGTTCCCGCATATGCCTTCATGGATTTCTTTAAGTATGTACTCGGCACTCCTTTCATCTACGCATTTGACCAAAGGCGCCGAGAAGCCCCGTTTGAATAGTTCTCCGGCCACAATCGTAAACCGGGCTGCTCGGGTGCGAAGCTGCCTGACTTCTTTTGGGTCCGGCGGCAGCATACCGGCTTCGAGGTACGAACGGATTGGGACCATCCAGCCCGAATCTTGACCTTTCACCCCCTGCTCGGCACTCAGCACGGAAGTGCCGAACACGGAGGGCTGCTCCTTGTGTCCGACCTGGACATATTCGACGCTTTCCACCCCGGCACTTGAGGCGAGGCGGGCCAGGGCGTCGGCTTGTACGTTCTCAGTCCGAGGGATGTGTTCTATTTTAGCCCGAATTTTTGCTAGCTTCTTCTTTACCAACCCCAGGTATGGGACCAATCTCGGTTCCTTTACCTCGAACTCCCCGGATATCTGCTTAACCATCAGCATGGAATCTGAGTATATGATGAGGTCAGTTAGACTCATAGCTTCTGCCAATGCGAGCCCGGATAGCAATGACTCATATTCGGCTTCATTGTTAGTTGCCGGGAAGAGGTATTGTATTGAGTGGCAAAAGAGCTTCTTGTGGGGATCCACGAGGACGACTCCCCCGCCTGCTCGACCGGCAGCGGAGGATCCATCCACGTACATCACCCAAGGCTGCTCGCTCGTTTCTCTGAGTCCCGGCGTGAATTCGGCTATGAAGTCCGATAGTACCTGCCCCTT